GAAAGACTGGCGGTGTTTGTAATTTATGGTCTTTTCAATTCGAGAAATCAGCAGCACGACAAAGGGAGGACGTTGCGTGGTTAGTTGGCGATTGCCTTCTTCAGCTCACTGGTACCTCCAACTGCTTGTTTTCTTCACAAATCGTCATTCTCGTGAATCTGACGTGAGTCGGGGCATTATCCTGCATGAATACGAAGTCCTGCTGCCGATTCTGACACCAAAAAGGAAGAAGAACCCGGTATGTCACCACTGGGTAACCGAAATAATTGAGCTTCTTCAGAACAAACCATAAATGTAGACCTTAAAGAAGAAGTTGCCGCCCATCCATGATCGAATAGCAACTTTCCTTCACCAATTACCTAAAATTGGGAAACTTGACACATATCGAGCAATTGTGCTCGGTGAAGATGAAAAACGACACGGAAGTATTTGGTGACTGTATGATTTGACAACATAGGGAAAGGGACCTTTTCTGAGAAAAATCAAGGGGGTTGTCCATGTCACTGAGATGGAACTCATTGTTGGTCTAGAAAATACGGTCCGAACAGGGCACTATCCTCATATTAGGCCTTTTCCTGAACTGCGACTACGACCTACGACTCATACCCAAAGGGTAACCAATTGTTATTTATACCCCACCACCATACACATTCGATATTCAGACCCGACGCGACAAGCTCCGGCAGGCGATCTGTCAGCATGCTTCTACACAGGTGGCGCCTGCACCTAGGCTGACGGGTCCTTCCTCATGTGGACCCCGTACTTAGAAAAAAATGCGCACACATTTTCGTTGCCCGTTTTTCCGGCTAGCCGTGGGGGTCTATATGGCTTAATACGACAATGAGCTTGCCTTGTCGTGGTCTGAGCACTCATCAACGGTCGAAGACTGCGACAAACAGCTCACTATCACGGACCAATAATATGCCATTCATGGTTGTGGAAGATGCAGGGTTGGTGAATTCCAACCAGCTTGCGGCCCAACTCTTAGCGGCGGAAGGAGCCACGCACTCTGCTATTAGTGCCTTCTACCGGAACCCTTTGGACATCTTGGGTCACCGCACCAATAACTTAGCGGCGACTTTACAGACACTGCTCGCTATTTGGCCTACTCTTACTATGCGCTCTCTTCTCGGTAGACGAGACCTCCATGCTTCCTATTCGGGGGACGGTTTGTGAGAGTCCACCGATGTATACCACTTCCATCGATACACAGATTCCATTTAATGGCACCTGCCATGCAATCCCTAGGACTGAGTTGTGCCTTCTCAGCGGGTCCATTTTGCGCACGTTCTTGGATCCCGTCACCAGCGTAATGAGTAAGCACGCGATGGTGGTCTACTGCGAGGAAGTCCCAGCATTTATTTCCTACTCCACCGGCGGCTTCCGCAGGTTCTCCCATTAGACGGTTCATGGATCTCGGTACCTCATCGAGAAATCACTACAATCTCCCCATTTCTATACCCGACTCCTTTTCGTTTAGAACCACCTCTCACTATTTTCCATAATTTGGTTTCAACTAATTTCAATGACGCGTCGGATGGTTTGCATCTCCAAGAATTATGAACCGTTCAGGACCACTCCCATTTAATCGACCATGTGGAGCACGTTCAACAGGCAATAGATTCGGGTACGTCCCTTAACCGCTATTATTTTCTCTTGGCTCATACATATTATGATGACTGGGTGCCATTTTGTTCCTTTTTGGTCACCTTACCATTTTTAAATCATTGATCCGATTATATTTGAGATTATATGCGCCCCGTCTCTATGATCGAATTTGTGGGCCACCCAATCTAGCTCCCTTGTGCTTCTATGGTCTCCACGTCCGTGTTGTCTGTCACCAGCCCGCAGCCCCTCTTTGTTGCACAAATTCCTATTCGGGCCAACGGCGTGAACATGCTCTCACCAGTGGACACGAGGGCTGGAGTAACGATTGCTAGCCAGTCGCTGCTACCTTTTTTGTGAGTGTTCAGACTGGACCAAGGAATGGTTCCGGCAGCTGTAGGAATGGCAGGAATACCAGTCAAATTTGTCGGTGCCACACCTACAAGATTCGAGCAGGCAAAACTGTGCTCACTGGTCCACTTCACGGAAGCCGACTGTATTCCTCGCGCGGCAGATGCCTACAACGTTCTCCTAGGCAACGATTTTTTACAGCGCCCCCCTCCCTGGGCACTACAGTGCAACCAGCGGGTGTTTTTGGTTGGAAGGGAATCCATCCCTATGCTACCCACAGCCGCCATGACGCGTCCAGTGTATGTTTCGTGCACGCCACCCCTCGTATTGTTCGAGCAGCCGCCACAGTTTTAGTACCCCCTATCACAGAGGTCCTAGTGCCCTGCAATGTAGTTTACATGAAGCCCATCCAGCCAACCATTTTGATGGAAGGCTCTACGCTACCCCTAACCATATACCTATCATATACGCTACCATGGTCGCGCCAGCGATATCCCATATCATCCATAGGCGGGTACTTGTCACTAACCCATCGGATGCTCCTGCGATCATCCACAAGAACCAGAGACTAGCAACGGCTCAATCCATTGTGGAACTCTCCAACGGAACTATGCTGGGTTTTAATCAGCGCTTTTAGCCAGTATGCTCCCTCGCTGGAACACCACAAGAGGTTCCGTCTCAGTCCACACCTTGGGCCACGGCTCTTTCAAAGGTCCCACTTTCTGACTAGCGATGGGAGCAACTAAACGCGCTCTTCCTCGAATTTCACGACGTATCTTCCACTCTTCTTATGACCTCAGATCGTATGACCACATGCAAATCACGATCAAGACGACATGAGAGATGCCACCCGGCACCGCCCGACCCGCGTCCCAGCCCGTTTTCAAAAGGAGTTTTGCGAATCGGACGTATCGTCGAAAGCGATACTCCATGGTTACATAACACTGTCTTAGTAAAGAAGAAGGACGGCACTTTGAGAGTTTGCCTGGATTTTCGACCGCTTAACTGTATCACCATCCCGGACCATTACCCACACCCACGTATCGATTACCTCCTTGGACGAGTCGCATGCAAAAAGTTTTACATCCTTCGTCCGGTTACATGCAGCTCCTCTTGTCTCCAGAGAACCAGGCGAAATGTGGAGGGGCCACCCATCGGGGGGTATCTGCCGATTTGTCTATCTCCCATTCGGGTGACGAACGCGGGCGCATTCTTTTGTAGAGCTATGTCCCGCACCTTGACCGATTGGAAGAAAACTGTCTCGCATATCTCGACGATATAATTATTTTCGATAACACTTTTGAAGAACATCTCCAGTCCCTACGCAAGGTGCTCGAACGATTTCGCATTTTCAACATCAAAGTGTCTGGGAAAAAGTTGACTAGTTGACTAGTCCAAGATAACCTTCCTGCGTCATGAAGTCCCCGCAGTAGGATTCGCACTATTGCAGCGTCAAGACCCCCACTTTACCTCTCGCCGCCATTGGCTACTTTAGCTAGACCCTGTCGCCATCCCAACAGAAATGGAGCCCGACCCACATTGAGCTTCTTGCTATGAGTGCCCTCCGTTTTTTTCGAACCACCATTTGTGGTGATCATACGCTCATATTGTGCGATCACCAGCCACTCACCTTCCTTTTACGCCACCGTAAGCCGCATGTTAATCCCGCAAGACGGGTAGTCGAGCTTCAAAGCTACGATATTACGATCGAGTACCACAAACGATCGTCCAACGTAATAGCGGACCACCTCAGCCGTAGTGCAGACCCGACAAATCGATTCATCGACGATAACCCTGACAGCGAAGACATAGTGGAATTTCCGCGTTGCTTGGTTCAGAGATCACCACGCTCGGCGGCTTATGACCATTTTCCTTTACCGTTGAGACCTCCACTATATGTTCGTCCACCGACGCTCTGTTAGCGCAAAAACAGAAACCATTATGCATGTCCGCGATACCGGCTCCTTCCCGCCGAAAACTCCCGATAAACTGCTCGACTCTTGCGATGGGGTACTCGATCATTGTGTCATAAAATTGAACGGAATCCTTTACTATGCGAAATCTTAAGCTGACCCCAACCGCCGCCAAAGTAGGGCGATTTTCGTGCAGCAACCCCTTCGCGAACCCATTTGCGTAGCTCTACATGATAGCCCAACGGCAGGGATACATTTAGGATGGAAAAAGACGTTAGCAAAAATTTTGCGACGTTTCCTTTGGCCTACAATGAGGGACGATGTGTTTCGATACGTCCGTTCATGTGATGCATGCCAGCGGATACAACCGCGAAGCACTTATCTCTTCCACGCAGGCGCTATCGATGATAAGGTATACATGGACCTTAGCGGACCTTACCATCAATCATCGCGCGGCAGTAAATAATAGGTTGAGGCATAATTATTATTTTTTCGCGGCTTCTTATCTAGAAGGTCACCTTCATATGCGCCAAATTATGCTCTATTACTTTGAGAAATGTTGTAAGGCGGCCCATTCATAACGCGATCTCAACGAACTTCTCGGCGACGTAACAGTCAGCCAAAGTCGAACAAGGAATGGAATTTGCTTCTACGGTCGCCCTATTCACCAATAAAAACTCCTTTGGATTCTCACGCTGATCGCCCGTTGAAAAATTGGTGAACCAACACAACTTTCGACGAAGTGGATGGCTTGATGGCCAACGTTAAGGCGTGATCGCCTCTAAGAATCGAAACTTCTTCGCCTGTGGAATCCGACCGCCTAGCAAATGAGGCAGTGGTTGTCGTAGATGGTGGATATGTGCCGAGACAATTATTCGAACATGTTTTTGCTAGATTTTTCTATCGTTTCTTCAAGTAAAATTTGCTGAAAAAAATCCGCAATAATTATGCATCAACCTAATATATCCTTTGCCTCATTGACCATTCCAGCAAGTATGTGGGGAATGTTGCTCTCTCGGATTCCACAGCTATAACCGTGGCCCACGCCATAATGTTTCATTGTATACTTATTTTCGGGCATTGACCCCAGTGGTTTCGGACAACGCCTCCTATTTGAAAGGTGAACTTCTTACACAATTGGGTCAGCTTCTATTGCACAAATCGGTCGCTACACCAGTATACCCTGTCACCACGAGGGCAACGGAGCATGCGAACGCATGTTCGCAACATTTCAAGGAAAGCTTCACACCTACATTAGCTCTAACCAAGTGGATTGGGACCAATTCTCACCAGCCTGTCTATTGGCCTACAATACATCGGTCCACACTTCGACAAATGAGTCCCCTGTCCTTCTCATGTTCGGACGCGACCCCATACTTATATCGATATTCTCAGACACCAGATAGAAGGCCACATACCGTCCGACGAGGAATGTAGCATTCACAAGGAAACCCTAGTGCGGATCCTCACGCTTGTTGGACCGCGGCCTCACCTTTAATCATAAGCGTAGCGAGGCAATGAAGCGTCAGTACGATGAAAACGGTCTCTCACCGTATATCAAGATTGGCGACAAGGTGTACCTCCGTGATTACACGCTTAAACTAGGCCTTTCCCGAAACAGTGTTACCCTTGGTTAGGGCAATGCCGAGTGCTAGCAATCGACCACCCTCACCCCACCATTACTAGTATTACGTCCCCCCAGGCCAAGCCCAAACACGTCCACATGAATCAGCGTTGGTCGTGGTTAAGCGTTGTTTTACATTATTAGGACTTGTTTTTACCTCCTCATGGGTACCAGATGCCGAGCAAGCGATGATAGACGCGGCCTCAGCATCCACAGTAACGATGGTAGCATATAATCATACTCCCTTCTTTTGCAACAGATTAATTCAGCAAAACAAATCCGTCCAACACATTCTTATAATACACGTTTTAGGGCTTGCTTATTATCAGCTTGTCACGACAAGAGCACGAATCCTTGCCTGTCCCGAATGACGACTTATTGTTTTAGCCATCTGTTTACTCTTACATTACATCTCTTACATCACATCTCTTTCTTCATGATCGTCCAATAACTGTTTTCATACTTGTTGTTCATTAGTTTCGACACATCTAGCGTGCCTTTCCTTTTCAATCCAGTCCGTTTATTCGTTTGTCAGTCGCTTATCAATCTCGCATTGCAATACACCGGTTCCCTAGCGCCCGTCAACCGAGCCCGCTGTCAGTAGGACGCTCAGGTCCACCCCCGTCCATGCAGGGACGTACGTCGGGTAACTCGGAACAGAAGGCCACATAATCGCATCTGTAATCGCACACCGGTTCTTGGGTACACCCCCATAACTCTGAATCCGTGTAAGGGAGAGGTGTAAGGCCTAAGCATAGTTTGTAGAGGTTAGAGAAGGGGAGGGGATACAGTATGAAGCTAATGTTGCAACTTTCAGATCGTGGAGATAAGGGTTGAATGGAAGGAAGAGCAGCAATGAGTATCCGAGCAAAGAACTCCGACCTCGTCCAGCCGCCCTCGGGCTCAACGTCCACGCCATATTCTGATCGTCGTTGTTATTCCTAATGATAGCTTATGTAGTATTTGGTCGTTCCATCTACTTCTAGTAGACAATAAATCCGACTCCGCTAGTTATGTACTGCTGTGACTAAGGTCGTACCGAGGACATATGTATGTGGCTAGCGTTAACTGAATAAAGATAAACAACGTCAACACGATTTGAGGGATTTAAACCTTTGAAATACTTCCTGGGAATAGATATGAGTAAACAGGGCACGCACATAAACTTCCGCAAATTTAGCACCGTTGATCAGACAACACCAGATTCGCACGGTGCTTTGAATGTGCTCCTCGAGTGATGTTCATTCTTTCAAGACCTCGTGGCAATACGGTGCTCATGGACGTGTATGAAGTCAGCAAGTGCTTCTTATTTGGATCTTGGAACATCTTTCACACTTTTTTTCATAAGGATAATTAATTTCAGGAGGAAACTGCAGTCGAGGACGACCTCCAGCGCTACCTCAAGTAATTTCTCAGAGTTTGAGCTCGTCACATTTGCACCGGTTCAAGTGTGACTCCATGAAAGTGCCAACAACTTTATAACTTGCATAATTTTTCATCAAAAAAAAGGAGTTTTGTGGGAGTGGGAATGGTGAGTAGCTAAGGGAAATTGAAAGCCAAACCACTCTAAAATTTTAGTCTAACCCAAGGCGTCGGAGCTACATTGCGCAGAGAGCTACAGCGAAATTCGAAGACACACTAAACAATGGTTTCGATTCATCTAATTTGGGCGAATCGAGCAAAGTTGCGGTGCAGAAATGTGCAAAATAGGTCAAGAAAAGGTGAAAAAAATCAGCGGGTCTCAAACAGCTCCAATGAGGAAGTGAAAGAAAAAGTGATTCCATCACACGTGACGACAGAAGTGGCATAGAAGGGGAATATTGACGACATTTCTCTGGTGTGCCATAGAGCTGGCTACAGCAACCCAAAAATTGCCTCCGACTGCTGCGAGAGGTCACGACTAGTGCACGACTAGTTTCTGTTCGAATTCAAACATGCGTGCTCCACTGTGAATGACGCAGCCTCACCGAAGTCGTCACAACACGAAAACTTTTTAATGATTTGCCAGTTAAGCCGATTTCAAGTACTTATTGCGCCCCGTCCAGGTCCCCACATTCAAAACCGACAGTGGCTCATGTGCTGTCCTTGAGGGTCACGGGTATATCTCTTGAGCTTACCATTTTTAGTGTTAATTTGTCATCGGTACTTCAAGATGCGATACCATCGAGAATTCTGTGAGTAGCCAAAGCAATTTTAGGCATTTGGACAGCACCGTGGAAACCGCCTCTCACTTCACGTCATGTCCGACATCACTGTGTACAACTGGTGCGCATCTCATCAAAAAATAAGCCCGAGTTCCTGCAAAAACGATTTTTTTTCTAGCATCGGATATCTATCCAGATGGGATAACTCCTCTGTCCGTTTGTCGCTCTTCTGAATCGGTCACCGATGGGCAAGGTACTTTGAGTAACAGGGTTCAAATACAAAGATCCACTATCGGATACTGAACCGTATCACAAGCGAAAGAAACTGCTTGTTCTTCTCCTGATGGAATACAATTATGAATAGCATCATGAGATATTGATACTAACTCATTTCACGTTTGCATTCTCGTGGCAAAGTATTATATGACTACAAAGCATTGTTGCAATGCATAAGCACCACCACTCTCATCACCCTTATCTGACTATCATTTACATACCTTTTCCACCTTGAATTTGATTCTCAATTGACGGTGTACTCCAATTACCTCACGAAAACATGGAATAACATGCAGTGCACACTTATGAAAGCGGTTGCACTTCCTCTGTAGCCCTCATTAGTTGACTTCAGTCCTCTCCGTCTCTAAGGCTCGCGTCAGGAAAAGCCGCTTTCAAAAATCCTTTTCAAAGAAGGAATTTATGTTGCAAAAACACAGATGCAACAGCTTTTATATGTAATTTGAGTAGCCTCAATCTTCGCGCGGGTTACGGTAATGTCTCAATGGACTATGTAGCGGGTCAATGTATACTACACCAGCGGCTCAGATGATAAAGGTCTGTAATGAAAATCAGAAGCTCCTGTGGTTCCATCCCCTATGGCTAGAGCCGCCAGCGCACGCGATACGTCTGAGCCGCTTCCCTGACACTTCTGTAGCGGGCATCATTCTTTTGTCTCATGGGAAGCATGGAATTTTTTCACTAGATCACAAAAATTCGGACTGACCGCAAGCAGTTCAAGAAGGGAGTTGTTTGATGTGCAATAGAAAAGTTTGTCCAGTTTGGCTGGAGTACTAGCATGGCACACATAACTTTTGATATTGGAACATCCTACTTTATATAATTCACTAAGTGTGTCTGTTGGTAAGTCGGTGTGTTTGTGTGTTTGTATGTGTGTGTGTCGGTGTATGTGCTTGACCGGAAATTCATAACTCCTGTTCCCGTGGAGCTAGATAGCCCAAATTTGGCAGGATTACAGAGAGCCGCATGGGAACACTTATGGCAGGTGGTAGGACCGGACTCCGCCTACAGGGGGCGGGGGGCGTGCGCGATAGA